TATGTTTGGTATTTGGAACTAAACGAAACAACTGAATTGAGATGCAGTAATTGTATAATGCACATACACATACTGGTGTAGCTGTGATTCAGATTTATGACCTGGATCTGGCTCATTTATGTCACACTGCTTGAACATATTAAAATGCTGTAACTCTCGCTATTCCACTCATTTACAAAGCACGCAGAAGAAAAGGGGAACATGCATCGAAGACATTCAAAGTTGCATCATTGCGCAACCCCAGAGAGGGAGATAAATCAGTTCAAATCCTCCCTCCTTTCGCTCCTTGTGACTGGTCGGCTCTTGTGTCAGTCAGGGGGAGGGGTGCACAGCTAATTTCTATATGCCTGTATGTCAAATCAGGGCTCATATTGCTCTCCCGTGTGCGCCTGTCAGCAGCAGCCAGCCCCAGTGGACGTGCACCAGCCTCGGTCTAGGGATTTCTGTGCGCATTAACTGGATGAGACGCCTGGGACGCGCGTCTACCTGTTTGCGTTGAACTGGATACTGTGGTGCCACCTCACGCATCCGCACACTCCAGACTCGTGGTGATTTATTTCCTCTTAGGAGCGAGCTGCTGCGTAATGAACAGCGCACCCGAGGGAAGAACCATCACCAAACTTTAAAGGAGACTTTGCAACTTTGGCAGTAGTGCGCAGCTCACCATTTGACAGGAGCGCGGATCTTTTCTCTGGGAAACTTTAAAACAGAAGACTCTTTTTTTCTGAAAACATGTTCAGCAAGTGTTCCGTTGTCTTATTGAACGTCCTCTTTCTAGTGCGGGCGCTCTCGGCTCACGAGTGCACGCCATGTAACCTTCGGACCTGTCCGGTGAAAGCCGCCCACGGGTGCGAGGGTGGCCGGACCTTGGCCCGGGATCCGTGCGGATGCTGCGACCAGTGCGCCCGCCTGGAGTGGGAGCCCTGCGGCGGACAGGACTGGGCGCACGGCTACTGCGCCCTGGGGCTGACGTGCGCCTCCACCAACAGATCCGGAGCGGCCACTATCCCTGAGATTGGAGTGTGTAAAGGTCGGTAGAAGTGAAAGTGTGTCGTGTGAAGCTGATTAAAACGATTGGGCTATTTTGTGTAATGATTATATAGAAACCATAAGCGGAGATCCAATAAAAAGAAAGCTGTTAATGTTGTTGAGTGTGTCACAAAAGAGCAGCAGGCAGCCGTCCCTTTCTTTTTGAGTGTCTTGAGGGCACGACTATTCAAGTGTCAGTTCAGCCCTGATGGCTGTGACTATGCGTCACTGTTTACCTTGTCTCTGGCTGCCTGGAGCTGCTGCCCAGGTCTGAGGGGGCTCTTGACTGCCAGGAGAGGAGTCATGTTCAGCTGCTCTTTCTTCCTCCTCAATGCTTCATTCACTTTCAGCTCAGAAGGCTTGACAATAAGTTTGGCAGCGGTGGTGCTGGCAATATAGTAACACTTCAGCTCTAGTAGGTCCTGTGCTTCTTCTTTTGCCTCACAGCTCAAGCAGACATTCACATTTGGTGCTGTGAATTGAGACAAAAAAATGACTGTTTGAATCTGTGTGAGGGTGAAATTGTGGTTCTCCGTGGTGTGACCAACAATAATTGTGTGTGCAAACTTGGAACACACTGTAATTAAGTGAATAAATTGCCCCCTTTCTTGTCTGTATTGTTTGTGTGTGACTCAGAGGTGCAATGGTTTGACAGCATGATTACGAAAGTCCCCCAGCAGATTTTCATTACCCTTTGACGCAGCAGAGTTGGATTTGCTTCTGTTCCTGCCAAGCAGAGCTGGGCTGTTACACTGTGGAGTTGCTCATTTTACGCACAATTAGAGCAACTTTCTGAACTTCAAAGAGATGCGTAGGGTGTCAGGTTCTACACGGTGAATGGAGTAAGTTGCAAATGGCCTTCCCCTGAGGAAAAAAGACCCAGTGGGAGGACCCCCCTGCAGCCCCTCCACCTGCATTCTGTCCGGTCTGTTTGGGGATGATTGAAGAGGACTGACAGGACTGTAGAGAAAAAGCAGCTCTCAGTGTGTGTCTGGATCCCCTGACCCTGCCCTCCCATCATCCTTCCGCGGGGTGGTCCGAGTCAGGGCTTCACTAGGTTTTTCCAGGGGTCTCCGGCCCCTGGCCATCCCAGGAGACGCTGCTGCTGATTGTGCCCCGTGTACAGGTTATAGGCTGGCGTCTGGAGGACATCTCTGCAAATTAACAGCTTTGGGCCGAGTGGGAGGCCTAATGGCTCCTCTGATTGAGTCGTGCCTCTAGTCCTGTGGCCCCAGGGACCCCGGAGCATGCCGCTGACCCCTAAATCAGGCGCATACACACGCAACCCCACTATCCCAGAGGGTACTAGGTGGGGGTAAATCAACACCTCTGAGTGTGTTTTCAGGGGCCACGGTAGGCAGGCTGCTGGAGGCTGATCCCAGATTTCCCTCCTCAAGCTGCAAGGGTCTTAAAGTGATTAGACTCGCAATCAGGAGTAGGGGGTAAATGTTTCCGCTTTCTGATCCCTTGCCTCTCTGCTCACAGTTTAGATTTTCTGGGTGGTCATAATCTGTTGGCGTGGGGATGTAGCAACCTTAAAATACAGGTGACATACGTATTATATGAGAGGAATATCTTCGTGATCAGCTTTTATTCTCACCATTGTCAAGATTGAAAAGCTTATTGGAAACAACAATTAAAAACATTCAGGGCTTCTGATGCCCAGGGGAGGCTGCAATAGTCATTGGACAATGAGTTTTCCAGATTTGGAAAATGTTATGTAAGACACTGTTGTCAAAAAGGAATAAGACATGAATTGTTATCTAACTCCCTTTTTTTTTTTTTTTACAAAGGAAGTATTTAATTCACTGTGTTGTGTCCAGCAAATGTAATGCTTTTAAGAGTGAAATATTGCATCAGACGCTCCCCAAAAAAGGTTGTAGCTTGCCAGAAACAATACTTGGACACTCAAATCAAGTTGTCTCATGGAGGAGTTCGGTATTTAAATATGAAGCTGACAAAAAGCGAATGAAACATAGCAGCTTGTGTCCATTTCCCTCTGCAACTGTCTCATGAGCATTCAAGCACCTGTTCTCAGAGTGACATCTTAGCTGTTACACTGTGTCATAGCTGCATCAGCGATCAGATGCTTTGTCAGGTGAAATCATCAAGTCTCTGCAAATGATTTGTTTTGATGATCTCATTGTATTTTTTCTGTCTGTCCCTCCCACACAGACTTTCCCCCAAGCTCCAGAGGCACTTACCATTCCACGTAACAAGAGTATCTGTCTTACAGGGACGTTATGTCCACTGCCCTCCTTCGTATGCCTTCCACTTCTCTGGTATTATCTAATGTTTCAAAGACTTCCTTTTTAGCTCGCTATCAGCCAGAGGGCCTCCAGAGGTCAGCTTTCCCGTCCTGGCTCTGGATGCCAAGACAAGCGGTCTCAGTGGCTGAGAGAGGAATCCTCCTGGGATGAAGCCATGGACCTTGGCTAGAGTCATGCCAGGCCAGATAATAGATAATCAGGCTGGACCAGATCAGAGCTGGGTCAGGCTGAAGGGGACGAGACAGATACAGTCCAGCTTATAACAAACTTGGCTCACTGGAGTCGAGCTAACATCAGCGAACGAGACAGTGTTTTCAGTGTCCAGGCTTCATTCATTGTTTTGTCTCCTGTACCTCATTTTCTTTGTGCTGTATTTAGCACCCGACACATTCTACCACCGACTCAAATGAAAATACCCTCCCAGGCACAGGAAAGCCTCGGGATGGAAAATATGTGGAGGTGAGGATCATTTTAAGGTGAAAGGAAATCACAGGGAGAGTTTCGGTGCGGTTTATTGAAAAGGCTGCTTGTGCTTTGCCAGTCTTGCTGGCCGTCTGTGAGAGCTATTAACAGTGCTGGCTGGCTCAGGTTAAAGGTAACGTAACCTTCATTTCTTTCATTGGTTGCTGTTTACAACTGGGCCGGTTAGTGTCCTGCATCACCCAGGGAAGTCCACATCATCTGCCCAAGGATACATGTTTCTGCAGTCCCATTGACTCACTTCATCATGTGAAATTCATTATAATAAAGAGACTGGCTCTTTCCCATAGCAGAATATCTGTTTTAGATTAATATGGATCAAAACATGTGTTTTATTATGATTTACATCATTTAAAAGGAAAGCAATGGAATTCCAATCCTTTCCAATCACTTGGCGTCGTCCGTCTTATGTTTCTCTGACCCCTAACTGAGAATGAGAAGGATCATAGTTTTACGAGGCCTTATTTCAGGTGGGCTCACAACAGTAGTCAGGTAAATATACCATGCGGTGTTCCGTGTTTGTCTTGGATAGTTAAACATTTTCCTCCTGTGCATTGTTCTGGTGCATCGCTGTTTGGAGAAGAAAGCCAGAGTATTATGATAAGCTCCAATCACGCTTCCACACTGTTGATTTGAGGCCTGGGAGCTAAATGCTCAGAAAGGGGTTACTCACTGTAACAGTTGGTCTCATCCTGTTTACTCTGCTGCCACTCGTACTACCTCTTGAATGACTATGAAGGAGGGTAATTTGAGGGTATATGTGTGTTTATTTATGCATGGATGTGAAAGGAAGACTTTGAAAGAAGTGTACATTGGGGCCCTTTAATCCCAGGGTTTTGATGGTTATTCAGCTCACATAGCACTAACGTGACACATTATACCCTCGTACATTCCTTCCCATTGTAAGATTTTTTCGTCCAAGTCTTGACGTGCCATCTCGGGTGGGGTGGAGGCACCGGGGATAAGGCTCACAGGGGCGAATGAACAATATGTGGGTATGGTGCAAGTGGCATGGTTACAGAAGAGGCATTGCAGCGAACAGCAGATGGAAGCCCTGGGAGGGCCCCATGCTGTGGAACAAAAGCAAACAAATGGGCTCAATGGCTCCAGTAGCGTGGCATGACGAGGAGGGAGGAGAGATGGCAGCTTAGAAATACACTGGTCAGTTCAGCAACTGTTGTGCCAGGGCAATGTGTCGCAACGAAAGTTGTAAGCTGGCCAACCCCTCTTTTGGGAACTTTTGGGAAATTACAACTTCTGGCACATTTTGCCATGTGATTACACTTAACCTGTTATTCTGTCCAATTTAATCACTGTCAAAATGACTATAGAGGATAAACATGTCCAATTGAGAAGTTCATGTCCTCTCCTTATCCTCTGTTCTCCGTTACTGTCCCCTGCAGTGCTCCCCGACCATCCAGAGGCAGGCCTTGAGGACGAGCGCTGTCCCCTGATGACAGGCTGCGACAAGGCTGGAGGACAGTGCGTGTGTGATACCCGTCACTCCTGCTTGGGCTCTTTCATGTACGCAGACCAAGAAACCTGCATGAAGGCCAGTAAGTCAGGTGAGCCCTCTCCTTGCATGAAACAAAACAAGCATAGGATCTCAGAGCTAGCGGGAATAATGCTGTCCATTGAGAGGAGCTAATCCATAGCAGATGTGGCTCTGAGGTGACTAACACTACTTACATATCATAGTGATGACACACACGCTGAGGCTTTTGTCAACTCACTCTTGAGTGGTGCCATTGTGTGTGACTCACGGATTTGTGTGTTCATGGTTGGATTTCAGAGGGTCGGAGGCACGAACACCGGGAGAGACACAGAGAGAAGTATGTGGGACCATCCAACCCGGCCTGCATGTTCTCTGGGTGTAACCTGACCGCCGAGGGCTGTGTGTGCGAGTCTCAGAGCTGCCACCACCACTTCGCCTACATCAACCGCAGCCAGTGCCAGGAAGCCGCAGGTAACCCTCAAATGACCCGCGACTGGAAGTGACCACACAGCAGCTGACCAGTAACTGCTCAACTCAAGTTATTTAGATATAACACAAGTCCAAAACAAGCCCTGCATCTACAAAGTTACATTCACATAACACACTTATCTTTCTATATAGTATAAACATTGGTATAAAATGCACTACAGATGTGTTTACTGAAAGTTTTGTTTTGAGTGGAACATGCAGCCTCAACGTTTCTCACATCAACTCATTATGTCTGATGTGAAGCATATTGTCACCGACCAATGAAAACCTCATGAGTCTAATTTTGGTCACCTTTAAGTTACAGGAACATTTCGGATTTCAAGTGCTTAAATCCGTGTGTACTTATTCTACCTGAATATTTGCACAGCATTTCCCATCAAGGCTACATCCACTCTACAGTGTTTTAGTTTTAAAATGTGTCACTGTTTGGGGTGCCTTTTAGCTCACCTGGTAGCGCAGGTGCTCCACATGCAGAGACTTGAGTCCTCATTAAGCAACCACAGGCTCGGTTCTGACACGGCCCTCTGCTGGGTCTTTCGTGTTTCATGCTTCCTGTCCTGCCAATAAAGATAAAAATGCCTGAAAAAAAGCATTGCTGTTGCCTCCTTTACAGCTGGCATCCCACTGCTCTAGAGTTTTCATGCACCTATGTAAGAGTTTGGAAACGCTGCAGGCCCCATTTTAGTCTTGAAACTCAGATGCTTTGTTGTAATGTGGACGGGCAAAAAAAGGAGGCACAATGATGCAGACTTCTGATTGGTTCGTATCAGTCACAATTCAACTGCCAGCGGTAAAAGCAAAATGATGTAAACTTTCATTGAGAGTTCCACTTCATCGTTCCCTCGTCTTACATTTCACCATGTTTGTACGGATGGCGATAATTACTGATGCAAGGATTTTAGTTTTAAAACACCATTTTAAAACAAACTACACAAAATCAGTGCGGATGTAGCCTAAGAAATTGAATGGAAGAGGAGGAGAAGGGAGAGGAAAAACAAGAGCGAAAGATTGATATCATGAAAGAAAACAAGAGAGAGATGTTGAGACTGAAAGGAGAGACAGTGTGAACCTGACTGACGGAGAATGTCTCCATCTAAAAAGGAGTTGTTGAGAATGCTGATGGATATATGGAGTGTTGGAGATATTCAGGCACAGGGGGACAACTTTAACGTGTAAATGTGTCGAGTGTGGGGTGAATGTTTTTTTCTGTGCAGGAGGGAAAAAAAGGAGAAAAGAGTAGATGAATGTGTGATTACCTCCACCTCTTAGCGCGCTCCCTGTCTGACACTTGTGGGTGAAAGATGTTACCGCCGCAGTGAGTTAAGTTTCCTCATTTGGATCGTGAGGTATCTGGAAGATATAGGCAGGCTTTAAGTGTCGGCTGCTTCCTGAGTGACATTTGCAAAGTAGAACAGCACTGAGTGAACCCTCTGAACCTCTGTGTACATGTGTGGTGAACCTGTTCTTACTGGTGTTTGGTGCTTTAGTGAAAAGATTTTAGTCCAAAACATGTGACTGCAACTGCTTATGTTTTTATCCACATGTTTCTCTCCTTGTAATACTCAAGGTTCTGCCTCTCTGTGCAGTTTGCTGACATTTCAATTGGAGAACTGCTCTTAGCTACTGTGTCTTGCAATGTGTCATGGAGCCATTTACGAGATTATTTTAGTTGTTTTCAGATATTTACTCTGGAAAATGTCCGGACAATTGGTTCTGGACTTTCTGTGGACTTTGCCTTTCACATATGAATAACGCAGCAGGAAACCTGTTCACAACAACAGGGGAAATATCGAGAGCGCTCAAGTGAAGGGTGGCATCTGGATAGAGCATGTAGGAGGCAGGACATAACATATAAATTCTACATGTTTATGCGACATCAACATCAGTCCGTATTGAAAAATATTAAAAATCCTTCCAAGTTGACTGTTTGTCACCTCTCATTTGGAGATATTTGTACATGCCCACTCACTCGCTGCAGATTTTTCCAGACACTTTCACATGGTCTCATTTGGACTTTATCTGGAGTTTTTATCTGTGGCTGGCTGGAAAAACTCAGGAGAATGTCCAGAGCAACTGTTTGCGTTTTCATTTACACCCCATAATGATCATTTCAGGAGAATATCCGTAGTTCAGCATCTCACAGTTTTAGTTTGCAAATTACACATTGAGATTGAAGCAGAACATTTACAGTACAGCTGTGTGGATGCTTGCCTTGAGCAATTTACTCAGTAAATCCCACAGGAAGTACGCTCATCAGACATGATATTGTTTAGACATATCATCGTTGAAGTCTAGCGTTGCGATGAAAGACGCACTGTTAGTCTTCTGTGTTTTGTAACCGCCTCATCTCAAAGTCAGAGCCCAAACGGGTGACAGTTTCAACTTGCACCAGTGAAAACTGTAAACAACATTTTTCAGCAGCTTATGAGTTTTCACCACAGCACACACCCACCCCTTTTGATGGCCCCTCATTAAGTAAGAGACCAGGATATGTGTGTCTGCTGCTGTCTGTAAGATTGTGGAATGATGCACACATGCGCGTGCTTGCATGTGTTTTGCATGTCATCACGTGTGTAATGATGAGCATGTATATGTGAGCAGAGCATCCGAGCCTGCATGTCTGCGTCCGCGCATGTGTGTGATAATTATCTTGTTTGTCTCCATGTCTAGGCAGAGATTTTCCTTTTGTCTGTCATCAGCAGGAGCTTCCTCTGTGAAGGGCCGGGACTCTGTGGTCAGGATCTTATTCGCTGGTGATAGGGTCCATCAATCCCTCGTTGTCTTTGGATGCGAGCAGTTCAGAGTCTGGAAGCAACCGTGTCCTGTAAACTTGTTCTCTAGGCGCGGGAGCCACGCTTACTGCACTTGTCTTCATGTTCAGACCTTGTATCCCAGCACTTGAAGTGGCCTTCAGGCTACATCCATAACTGCAGTGGTATGTTATGGATACTGGTCCCGTTTTAGTCTGTAAAGTCCAGGGCTGCATTTTTATCTGTACGGGCAGAAACTCAAATGTAAACAACCGCTCACAACTACTTGCTGATTGGTTCTTTTTGGTCAAGACAGAGCCTTTGCTGATTCATCATGGTCTTATCACATGACCCCCTTTCAGAGGAAAACAACAAGTATTAGCCTCAGCTACCGGTGTAGAACACAACTAGTTATAAGCTGTTGCTAACAGCTGTTTTACGGTTAAATTCTACATTTTATCCGAGCAATCTGCTACAAATCCCATGTCTAGCAGTATGCACTTGCCTTCCTATTGAGACCGGCATGCACTTGCACAGTGTACTTGAGTCGTCACATGATATACTTTTTCAGGTGGGGATTACAACTTATATGGAGCCAAAATAATGCTTGTGTGGACAGAGATTGTTTTAGTTTTAAAAAGAACAAACAAAAACCTAGTTGTATGGATGTAGCCCCATTGTCACACATGGAGGTAGTTTGGCCTTTCACTTTCCCTCTGACTCACTCAGTGGTCTTTACAGTTCATCCCTAAAAGCTGTGACTCACCCAGATCTGTTAAAACTCAACATCTTTTCCGCCTCATCACTGCTTCATCACCAGCCCTGTCAGTGGGAGAATGTTCTCTGCATGGTGCTGATGTACTTTGGCTGCAAACGTTCAATCAGAACTCCAGACGTATCAGCCACATGTCAGGGAGTTAAAGAGGATGTGATAAGTGAAGGAGAAGGATGAGGAGGAGGCGAGGCAGACTCAGGAAGACAGGAAATCACAAGTGAAGTTGGCCGTTTTGTTGAGGTATTTGTGTCAAGTACAGGCCCCAGAGCCTTGGTTGGGTGGTGTTTGGTTATTTTACACTCTAGGATAGTTTACATATTTCATTCATGATAAGACCCCTACTGCTATTTCAGAGGAATTCCCCTGCTGTTGCATACTGACAGGAACAAGCCACAGCAGCCTTCAGCAGACAGGGAGGTGCTGCCTGTTATAATGTCATGACACAAACTGACTTGTTCCCACAATTCTCCTTGCCCACCTATGCCACCTCCATCCTGCATCTCCTCTGCTCCAGTGAAAGGACTGTTAGTTCTGCTTCTCTGCAGCCTCTTTGTGGCAGGGCGTTTACTGGCCGAGCCAGACCGCCACTGGCTGGCAGGGGCGCGAGACGTCTCGGTGGCGTGTGTTTGTGCACCGTCTGCCTAAGCTGTTGTGCCCTGCAAGCTGCTCGTTTCCCAGGGTGTGTGTGTATTTGTGTGTGTGAGTGTGTGGGTAGGGATTTCAAAGAGGAAACAAAACTCTTGTGTGACAATCAACACAAAGAACTTCCCTTTAAGACATGTTGGGATTGCTCTCAACCCACTCACTACTCACGGTCAGCCGCAGACCAAACTAGCCAGCATCAACATTCCTGCATGTCCGAACTTCTCTCCATTCACTAAATCTAGACCTAAAACCTCAGTTTATTGACCCAACCATAACCATTAATAAATTAGAGATACCCCGACTGCAGCTAAAGCCAACTCCTGTTGTTCCCAGACCTATTTCTTCTATCATCGGCTATTCTTTCCCCTTTATTCCCTTAAAGCGAACAGACATATGGCCAAAATCCATTTCTTAACTCAACTGCCTTTTTCACAATTTATTCAACAGCTGTGCTCACCCCAGGTCTCCCATGGAGTATTTTCTACATTTGCTACAGATCAGGTCAGAGGTATCGTGTCCTCTGAGAGACAGTACACGTGACAACGGTTTCGATTTGCTTTCCAGTGCTTTATGTAAAGTACCCTGGAGCGGAGAATGTTCACTCTTTTCATACGCAATTGTGCCAGATATGGTGATAGAGCATGTGTGTTGTTGCTCTCTGGACAGACCCTTTATGCTGATAGAGGTCCCTTGCGCTCTCTGTTGTTGGCCTAATCTTATTGGCCATCTGATGTGAAGGAAAGGGTGTGTTTCAATGGAATGCGCACATGTACACTAGCGATCCACACACAGACACACACACATATATTAATATATCTATGTCCAAATGTGCATCTACACGTGGATAATTTCATGACCTCACTCAAACATGCTCATTCACAGCTGTAGCTGCGTTTCTTAGGACACTGAGATCACGTTTTTCATCTGCAAATATTTAGCCTAAGTGTAAGAGAGCCAGGCGTGCAGGCAGCAGATGTAGGCCTGCTGGCTGCTGCATGCCTACGCCTGGCCGCCACAGGCTTCTGACCACGGTGTGAAGTTCTTCCAGGTGACCCCAGTCTGTTCCTCTCTATCTGGACCCCCTCCCAGACCTGCTCCATGGTCCTCACAAATACTCTCACACACGCTGACACAAACAGGGAACAATGCTTACTTTCTCAGCTGTAACTGCTGGTGGGCACTGGGCCAGACCCCCACAGCTTTTACGTGAGAGACGGCCCCGATGTGTCCCTTTGCGGAGCAACTTTATAAAACCTGAGGACAGACCAGAAACCCACGGAGGGCAGCTGGACTGAGACAGCTTTGTTCTCCTCTGACTTGCTTCCAAAGTCAGTCGGTGAACAGAACTCACATTGTGCGCTTTTTCCATGAGTAAACTCAGGCTGTCAACACAGCGTCCTCTGCCTGGTTGAGCCGCTCCGGTTCGGAGAAAGACTGCGCTCCTTGTATCCGAGCTTGAAGGGAAGAAAAAACCCATTTAGAAAGGAGGTGTTTTTCTTTCTTCAATTAGACGCTGCGATGCCAGAAATATGCATTGTTTACAAAAGAGGCTATTCTGTGGTAATGAAGCAATTTCCTCCTCCCACCTCTTCCAGACCAGTGGCAGGTGTGTGTGGCAGGGAGGTGGGGGGCTGTATATTGTCTGCTGATTGTGCACTGAGGTCAAAGGTTTCCCATTCTTTGCTATCTTACAGTTGTACGAGAGCACGTTGCCTAATCTGCAGAGAGAGTTTATCAACCATACCAGATCAGGCCTTTTGTGTTTGTGCAAGCTGGAGTATGGCCACCATTGTGATATGAAGATTGGTTCTGTGGCTGTCGATTCACTAATTACAGCCATTTATGCTAAGATACAACCCAAACAGCACGGGATAAAATCCATTTGTTGCTGACTTTTTCCACCCTTTCTTCTGTCTGCCTACTGGGCTTACAAATGTGCCTGCTACGAAATTATATTAATTGGACCTGCAAGGGCTGGACCATTTCCACAGATGGATACAATTCTATTAATTTAAATGACAATGGTAAGTCTGCCAGCTGCTTTTCCCAGCGCACTCTAACCCCAGCCATTATCACAAGTGAAAGAGTAATCAGCCTTCTCTGGGACACATACAGGACACATAATGTGTTTTTCAGTGCAGAACATTGTGCAAGATCGTCCCATGGCATTTTTATACGGCTTTAAAAAGTGTGAGGTTTTCATATGCAAAACCAGTCCTCAACTGAGCAGCAGCAGGGCGCGTCACACTTTATTGGAAGTAAAACATTCACCAATCAGCACTTCCAACTGAAGCGTATTTAACTCCAGCATCAGAATCAGGCCAAAAAACCATTAAAATGGTCGTAGCCTCTGTCAATTCAAGGTGTCACCCTCATTTTCTATGACACCATTCATCTTAAAGTTCATCAATGAGAACTTTGTGGTGGCCTCAATGTTCCCAGGTTGCTTTGGTAAACAGTACATTACAGATACACTCACACTCCTTTTCTATTTATCTGGAACCAGCTAAATTCAATGTTTCCCTTGATTTCATCTGTTCCGCCAAAGCACAGCGGTCAAAGTCTCACAGCCTCCTCTCCTCAATGTTTATTCTGAGTCATGTAGACATCAAATAACCAGACAGTTCATCTAATAAACCTGGAATATACGATGTGATTCAGAGGTGCTTATCTGGAGTTGAAGACTGGCAGAGCAATACTATTATCATGGGATCAGAAGTCTGGACCCCAACGGCTCACCGGTTCAGTTTCCTCATCTGGTGGCAAAACCTAAGAGGGATCCACTTACAGGTCTTCAAATGTCAGGGATGAGGCACATCCTCTGAGAGACTTGTGTTGCGCAGTGGAGCCAGCAACGGTCTGGGAAGACCATCAACAAAACTCAAAGCTTCTGGAAAACACGGCCAAAACCCAGAGTGCTGTTACACAATCTCGGCCTGTATCATTCCCTCTCCTCAAAAACCATATGTATGCAAAGATTCTCAAGTATTCCTCACAACTAAATCATAATCCACCTCATTTAATGATTACACTTTATGAGGCAGCTGTTTATTGACACGTTTCCTCCTTTAAATGTTAGTGGTGATTTATACTTAACTCACAATTAAAAGACTTTCCTCACATTCATCCATAATCTTTTTGCTTGTCAACGCTGTCTTCTCTCTTTTTCCTTTCAGCGGTCATAGTGCCACAAAAGCTGTTTGTACTGCGCTTTCAGCTGGGAAATGACTTAGTGACTGACAATTATAGGACAGGACGCGGGTCTGCTCTCGCCAATCCCTCTCTTCTACCTGCACTGTATACATTACAGTGACACTGAGAACCAAAATAAACACGTTTGGGTAATCTAATCTTTGTAAGGTGGCTACTGTTCTCATACAATGTCTGTACAGAGGGGCGCTCCACTTTTCTTTTCCTGAACAGGCTCCAAAATACACCCCAGAGCCCCTTGCCCATTTCCAGTACCCCTGCAACCCCCCCTGTATCACAGCTATTATGTTGGCTCTGGCAAATGAATAGACAAACACGTCCTGGTATGCTAAGTGAAGGGGAGATTCTCAACTGCCAAGAAGAAAGACTCTGTTGAAAGTTGGCTGCTATTAATGACTGGTTTTCGAGCGTGAGGGGCTGTTTGGATTGCGAGCCGGTCGGCCCCGGCCGGGTGGGATCAGAGGCTCGTAGACAGGATATGCAGAGAGAGCCTTGTCGTGGCCGGAGCACCGCTCTCACTTCTCTGACAGGATGCTTCAAAGCTGTCTTAGGCTGAAGTGGGGATCTGATGACTGCGCACAAGAGTTTGTGTTGGGTGGCTGTGTGAACTCAACTCTTAGACCGTAACACGAGCAGCGCTGTTCTGAAGTGGCTCAACTGACATTGCAAGGAGGAGGCCGCCCTCACACACGCAACCCTTCCTCCCTGCAGGAGAATACAGTGTGTACTGTCAGAGCCCAGAGCAGAGCCCAGAACATGTTGTTGCAGAATCTCTTTCACAGAAACTATGAAAATGAAAAAGATGCCAAAGCTGTGTCACTGTTTATTTTTTTTCTTGCATATTGTGTTTGCTGCATACCCACCTGTGTCTCAAAGTGAACATGCATCCAATATCTGTGTGTTTCAGAGGAGCTGAGGTGTGCCGGGGTGACATGTCCCGCTCTGCAGGTGCCCTCCTGCCCCCACGGATCAGTCCTGACAAAGAGCTACACACCCCCTGCTGGCTGCTGTCCCTCTATTCCTCCCCAGTGCACCTGTGACCTCCGTGCCTGCCACAAGCCTCAGTGCCAGGGCGGACAGCGAGCCGTGTTGCTCAGCCAGGCCAGCGGCCTGCCGGGAGACTGCTGTGACGTGTTTGRGTGCCAGAAAGGTGATTACGCTGAACTGCAATCTGTTTGGATTGGTCTCCCGTCGAGGGTAGCAATGGCACAGTTGGTGTGAGATTCATCGCCTTCGAGGAGGCAATTACTACCTCAGAGTGAGGCTTTCCTCCCCGCTGACCAAATGTCTGCAGATGAAAAAGAAAGTAGCTGATTGGATAATTACTGTTGGGCTGTTTATCAGGCTCAGCCAGTGCCTCCCATGGTTCCAAGATAATTTTTTTTGAGGTGTAGCTGCAAGTATTTTTATTGCTCAAAGGGATTTTAAATGTAATGAGTCTTTCAAAGCAGATTGATGGTTGGAAATGTGTGTGTGCGCACCACTTTCTCACCAGGTAAGAAAAAGGCAGAAGAAATTATACAGAAAAAGAAGTGAGTGAGTGAGAGAGAGAGAGAGAGAGAGAGAGAGAGCAGATGTTGATCACACACAGGGAGACTTCAGTTCTCTCTGTCATGGTCCAGAGTAAACCAGGAGAGTCAGGAAGGCAGGGAGGGGATCTGCGGTATTGGTCTGTTTGCTTTGCGATCCCAACAAATATTCGCTGTTTTACCAACAGAACAAATTCCCATTCTGGCCCCTCCACATATATAAATGAGTGCCGTGTCCCGGAATTAATGGACTTAACGAGCCCAGTGACCAGAGAAGTGCTTAGGCTACAAATTTGCTCAACAGAAGTGCAGTGTCAAAGGGTTCCTGTCTGGTCACACATCCAAAGGGAAAAGGTTCAACAGTTCATTGATGGGAATGCTTTTTATGTGCTCCAGTCTGCCAGTGGGGAGGGTAATCGAGTCCGGCAGGCCAGCGGGGTCTGAACGGCAGCCGTGGGGGCCATGGGATCAGTGTTTTGATAACAAGTGTCTGCTGCTCTTTGGGCCTGGGGCTTGATGCCTTTTGTGCTGCCTCCACCGTACATTAGGCCTGCATGACTGCACTGCGTGTCAGAGAGCTCCACAGACAGGGACACGGACAAGGACACGCACTGGTCTCCCTAGTCACCTTCCCCAGTCCTAGAGAGGCCTCTTAGAACTGGGGAGGTACTGTAACTAACACATCAATGCTAACTTGCTTTCAAATGCCATACCTGTTCTGTGAGGGAACAAACCATTGTCAGGCTTGGACTGATTAACTTGTTTCCATTGCCCTCTTGGCAATGGGTGCATATTCAGCCAGGGTCAGTGTGTGGCTGGCAATAAGCCCCACCTGTGTGTTTTGGCCTCTGTTGACGATAGACTCTTTCCACTGTTGGCTGGAGAGTAGCTGTATCTGGGTGGCAGAGGGAACTCGGCACCACCATCCTCACTGGACGTCATCTGATGCTACAGATGATCCAGTTGGATCTTGTTAAGCTGTGGTCTGCTGTTGTTAAAAACATTAGCTGGCACAAAATTGGAAACCGTCCTCTGAAGTCAGCCCTGGGTAGAGGGTAGGTTCATGACTGCACATGTTCCTTTGAGATTTACGCCGGCGTTAAGCAATAAGGCTGAGATCATCACACTAATCGCTCCCCTGCAGCTCAGCCTCAGTTTGTTATAAACAGCCATGTTCTTGAGCGGTGGTGCTTGTTACATAAGTTAAACTCGTATTTCAAAATTGTCAACGGATATTCTGAACTGATTAAACATATCACTTAAATGTTTATAAATCCCATGATTATTCTTGTGTAGTCATGTCATGTTTCCCTATGTGGTTTTCGCTTTTTTTTTTTTGCCTGTAAACCACAAGAAGCACCAGCATGACAGTCCAGTATGAATGATTTAGACAGTGTTGGGCCAGTGTTTTATGGCCCATCCATCTCCGCATCCAATCCTCACCTCAATTTAGAGGAGACTGAACAAAGCATGACTGGAATTTTAGACTAGACACTGCAGAAATCACATGTGAGAATCGCCTCATGCGACTTCCTGTTGCTTCTGTGAGTGTTGAAAAAACGTTGCTGCGCCTCTTGATTTCAGCCAGCTAAAGTGCGTATTGCATTTTCTCTGCCTGGTTTTTCTTGCACGCAAGGCAGGGGTGGCAGGAATACCGACCACAAGAGAGGAAGAGGGCAGAGAGGATGGAACAGAAAGTGGGAGCAAGGAAGAGAATAAAAGAACAAATCCCCCACTCCACTTTCAACTCGGTTGGCCCACCTGCTTTGTATTAAGAGTGAAGCGCTGGTTTTCGGGAGGCACGGGGTCATCGGTGCAGACAGTCTGCGCTCAAAGACTTTGGCATACAGATGCCCCCGTAAGCGTGATCTCATTTATAGAAACCACTGGCTCAGCAGCTGCTCACATCTGATCAATCCATTTACATTTACTTAACTAGCGTAGCTACTCCTCAATGAGTCTGGAGATTTTCTTACATAACCACATTGCCTCACTTCCCTCATGCCGAGTGTGTTTGATGAGAAGTTGCCGTGCGGTTATTGAAGATCAAGCCACTGTGGTGCATTTGAATGAGTGGTGTAGCATTACCATAGAGATGTCATGTTGTAATCTTCTTTTTGTCGGCCACAAAACTAGCATCATTTTTATTTAATGATTGATTACATTTCATCTCGTAGAAATTGTGACTGAGAATGTGTGTCTTTGTTTTTTTCTCATACACACACATATTGGAGTGTGGATACCCAACCTGAGCCTGTCGGGACATTTGGGTTTGGACAAAGATTTTGAAATGATATTTGCCCTCAGGTTGGGTTTGACATTGGCTGGGCTATGTACTTGATTTTTTACACTGCACATGTAATTGTGGAAAACATTGGGCCTGGGTTGGGTTCAGACACAAAAAACAAAATGCCTGCTTCGTCCGAGTCGGGCACGGATCATACCAAAAACTGCATTATGAGCTGCACTCGAAAACCGACACATTCATTTAATAATCAAATTTTATTTTGGGTGCAATGATTAGGTCAAGGTTTTCCCGTGGGTGTTCTGTCTTTACTAGCCCACCTGTCTACACATAAGATCATTTTTTTCATAGTAGGGGGGGGATTCAGTCAAAAGAACTTCTATGTGCTTGATTCACTCCACCTGCCTCCAGCACACTGAGCCCAGATTTTGCCAAAACCCTCCTAACAGCTCCTACTATATTCAACGCAGCACCGTAAGAGTCAAACACCTTCTTGAGCCCCGATGTATCTGCAAAATATTTGCTCATGCACTTGGCTTTACTGTCTGATAGCCGCCACATATCCAACATCACAGACTCAACCTCAACCATCAGTGTCCTCCTCGGCACCATTTGGTTCAGATTCACATCAACTGCAGATAAAACAGAATGGTTGTTTATGGATTTGTAATTGACTGTATACAGTTGCTCATCAAACTTGACGTTTGTGATGAAAAAAAGCATTTTTCTGTCCTATAGTCATGAGGAGAAAGTTCTGGGGTTGATTCCTGCTAAATGTGAAGGACACCTGACAGTGCGTTCCTTTGTCAAGTGTGTTAAGCATTATCTTCCCCATGTGGTCTTTGGCATCAGGTTGACAGCATCTGTCTTCACCGACTGCATCTGATTCTTGTTTTTCTCATTCTTCTTTCCCTCAGTCACCCCAAAGTGCATCCACAATGGGAAGGAGTTCTCAGAGGGAGAGGTGTACCGCATGGACCCCTGCTGGCTGTGTCAGTGCCGAGGAGGAATCTCCTTCTGCTCTAAGGCAGAGTGCGCTGAGCTGGACTGTGAAAACTTCTACATTCCTGAGGGCGAATGTTGCCCTGTCTGCATAGGTACATGTGTTTTCAATATTTTGCTGAGAAAGGGCAACATAAGTCTTAGTTTTGCAGAACACAATGCTGTTAAAATGGGGAAATTCTGATTTATTCTCATGTTTTTTGACATATGCCACTGGAGATGTGGCATTCAGGAGGCCTGTGTGGCAAAGGCAAAGTTGATGCCGGAGGGGTAGAGTCATCAAAATCCACCTTGCCTGATACTTACCTCCAGTGACCCTACCTTAATGGTTTCCTCATATAACCAGCTTCCACAGTTGTTAACATACCTGGCATACTAAAGAGGCACACTAAAGAGCCAGCCTAGTGATTCATTTCCACTGGGGAGACTGCAGAACATAAAAACCCTTTTTTAGAGTGGACGGCTTGGCTTTGTAATATCAGGCCCTGGCTTAATAGAGGGGACCCACTCCACAAAAACATTTGTGCTTAAAGCCAGGTTAGGAGCTATGATATGTACACTTGGGATAGTTAAAAAATGGTTCTTTCAGCGCATATGGCAGCCACATTACAATCTGCCAAAAGCCTGTGGATGGAGACAGTTGCCAACTTTGGCCTCTGCCTGCGTGGCTTCAGTCGATTGGGCGCATGAGATAGAGAAAAAGACAAACACCGAGACTGCAGAGGAGATCATGTTAGGTCAGTGTTGGAGGTACACCTGGAATGTGCAGGAATTTAGATGGTATGGAATGCTTTCATCTCTTTCTTATGGAAAGCTGCTCATGCTTAGTGCATGGCTCGCTGCAGAGAACAAAGGCTGTAATGCTTTAAATCTGGATTAAGAGATGTATTAAAGGTGACCTGGTGACGATTACACTTAAAGCTGTACTAATCAATATTTCAGCAATATGAAAGATCAGTGTGACAGGGTTGTTTGTAATGATTAAACCATATTGAATTATGATCTAGCTGCAGTTCTGCTCTCCTCTGTGGAGCGCTTTAGCATCGTACCGCTGATGGTTTCGGTTTCACAGCCCACATCTTTACTACATTGGGTCATTTTTACCACTCAGATTGTTTACAGCAGAGTCAGGCAGCAAAACAAGCTTTGTATACTACATGACCTGAGGCTGAGTAAGAAACTGGCGTGTGAACATAGTTTTTCTCTTTTGAGCTGATGAGACCAAAAACACAGCTGACAAGTGAACATCTAGATATTTAATTCTATTGTAGCAATGTCTTTTATGTACTATGCCACCACATGCAAACCATGGACTGTACATAATGACGTATATAATGACTACTCCCAGCAGGTGAATCCTAAGCACCTCAATCGCCACCTACGGGCTGCTAGCAGAATAGGTCATACAACCCGCCTACTCATGGACATTGGGCAAACTAAAAAGTTAAAGTACATGTTCCATTAATTTTTCTCAACAATGCTTTCCGTCATTCTAGGTCATTCTGATCGCACTGATGTGTGTTCAAGAGCTCGGTTTTCCAGGAAGTTGTTTTGTAATTAGTTAATTATTGTTAAAAAAACAGGTTGAAACAAAAAAAGCAGAGTCTGATGACAGTATTTGTATCCAGGATATTTTAGCTTAATTTCTGGATAGTGGGAAGAGGTGGAGATGCGTTGTCCATCTATTTCTATGATGCATACGCATCCATAACTATTTCATAAAGTCAAGTGTCCTAACTGGACAAAAAAAATCAATGAATACAGGATTAATAAAGAAGTAATTGACCAATATAAACCAGGTGTTCATTTATTACATTAATGTAAGGCAAGTTTGAATTGATTTGGCTTTTTTTATTATTTGACTGGAAACCTGATCTTGTCGAGACTTTGAAAACAATCATGGAGAGGCATTGTCTTTATAAACTGATGAAAATCTTGGCTTGGGCTTGGAAACAACAAATGTCAGACAGCCACCTGAAAGAAACTATCAGGTTGCATTATGGGAAGCGCAGGCTTCCGGGAATAAGGAGCTTGACCAGTAATTTTAGGGAAAAAGTAGGATATCTGAACTTCTGAGGCAGGGGTTGCAAATTCTCAATTCTCTCATTCATCTCCACTCTTTTGTATCCGTCTCTTACAAGTCTCCCACATTCATGGCAGTGAAATACCAAAATCCTGGATTGACCCTTGAACATTTTCATTATAAGGGTCACAGTGCATTATGCATGAGGTGTATACAGTGAGACAGAAAGAAATCCTGTTCAGGTTAATCACAGCCAGATGGATTGAACTACAGCAGACAAACCTCAGCTGGGATCAGATAGGGCAATTAGGAGTCTTGTGTGAAGTATACAGCACCCTAACTCCCTCTGACACACTTTTAAAAAGCTACAGCGAACACATAAACATGCAGAATCATGTACACAACTTCCTTTGTTATTCTCCAACACAGAAAAAAAATGCCAAGACCACCTTCTAACCTCTGTTGCTAATAAACGCTGTAGCAAAAACAACTAAAACTGTTTATAGGAAATGGGGGAAAAGCAGGTTTCCACACAGAGCACAGGCACGATACATCACTTCATTCCGAGCCGAATGACTGCACACCATCAGGTTTTAAACTGTCAAACTTTACGGTGCCTACTAATGGCTACAGATCTAAAATTTCCTTTGCTTTGGAGTGAGATTTATGGAATAAAACGCTGACCTTTCCTTTAACCTCAGGGGCCACAGCTAAAACTCACATGGATGAGTTGAAGCTTTTAGCCAAGAGATTAGCGGCGGCTGTGGAGACCTGCATAGTTCTTGGTGACGTACCCGTCTCCATATCTTGTGATGGAGTATCCCACTTCCATCACCTCTGCGCTCACCCTCCTGTCAGTTCAGTTACAGTACAGGATTGTACTGTACAGTAGGATTGGACTGTGGTCTTCATTTTGAATTCCATTCATTGCTGCCAAATCACAATATTTATTTGTCTTAGCTAATAATCAGATAAAAGATTCTCCTCTTCTCTTCTACTTTGTTCCCTAACCTACATGTGTGTCTCTCAGATGTGGAGCTGCTGTCGTTGGACAGCACTAAGGCCAGCTGCTGGGTGAATAATAAGCTGCGAGCGCACGAGGAGCAGTGGAAAGAGGACGACTGCACCTTCTGCCAATGTGTGGATGGAGACCCGCACTGCACGGCCATGGCCTGCAAACAGAGCTGCCAAAACCCTGTCAAGATCCCCGGAGAGTGCTGCCCATTCTGTGAAGGTACGGAGAATCATGTTGGGACTTCAAACTATATCTTTTATGTTTATCATTTGATGCATGCCTCATATCTATCTGGAATAAACAGTAGCCCGCATACCACATGTAGGAGGCTCCTGTGGCCCCGCAGCTTTGCTACAAAGGCCATGTCACCATGGGCTCATTAAAGCGGAGGCCACCGAGCATTCTTCAAGCTGCAGGCTTCTTTGTGTTCCTTTATTGCCCTTGCCCGCCAAAATGAGACCCACCTGTGTGTGTGTGTGTGTGTGTGAGGCTGTGGCGTGCTTTTAACGAGGGTAATTGAAGTGGATCCCCATTTTTTGTGAGCATAATTAGTCACAGCTCATTGGCCTCCTCCACCTACCGAACGTGGCGAGGGTCGTTTGACGGGAAAAGCTTTGGTGCATATGCTGTGTGTGTGTTGTTCTAAAACACCCTTATTTGTTGTGGCCTCTCAACAAAGCTGGCTCTGATTCAAGTCTGGGCAGTGCCAGAGTCCAACTTCAGTCCTGATAGAGCTAAAACATTAGACACTTTCAACTTATTGATAGGAGACAGTTCAACGCTATATAAGAGACAGAGGTATAATCCCCCTTACAGTGTGACCCACCCTGGTGTAATTGCTCTATATTTATCTGTAATTATTGTTTACTCCAAAATAATAGTGTAAATAGGTGCCTATTACAGTTGGCACAAAAAGCGTAGAGGTGTTACACCTGAGGGGATCCAAGCGCACATATTTAAAACCAGGAGGGATGTATAAAACATTTTTTTGTTTCTGTTGCTCTAATGCAAACTTCTCACCCTCCATCGTCTCTTCGGTTCACCAGAGCCTTCTTATGAAACCGTCAGCCCCCTGCTGTGTCCTCCCCTGGAAAACTGCTCCCTGTCAGGACACGACTGTCCATACGGCTTCCAGCAAGACAATAATGGATGTCTCCTCTGCCAGTGTCTCAGCAGTAAGTTCACTTTCCTCACACTGTGGCTACATCCATACCACGACGTTTTAATTTGAAAACACATCAACTCCACTACGGATACGCCTGGCGTCCACACTACTTCAGAGAATCAGAGCTGCTAAAACTAGAAGTTTGGAAATGCTGCTGGCTCAGTTTTAGATTGAAAACTACGGGGCTGCATTTTGGTCTGGACAGTGAGAAAACAAGATTTTGGAAACTATCATGTCGATACTCACATCTGCTTGCCGATTGGGTCTTCGATCACAAAGTGGCTTTTGCTTGTTCATCAGGCTCCTATAACATGATGCCCTTAAAGAAGAAAACAACAACATCAGCCGTGGCTACCAGTGTAACACAACATGGATAATTAATTACAAGCATTGCTGAACCTGTTGTCTTTGCCAACAGCTGTTGTGCAGTTAAATTCTGTATTTTACACTGATACAACCACTAACATGAGTAGGAGACTCATGTTAGTGGCTATTACTATTATTTGAGCAATGTCCATCTGCGTTTTCTGCAACTAACAATGCATGTCCAGTGTATGTGTGTGGTCATGTGATACTCGTTTTCAGGCGTGTTGACAGGGACTAAAACTTTTAGTTTTAAAATTCTGGTTTAAGTGGAAACATAGTAGTATGAATGAGCCTGTGTGTGCACCTCAAGGGTTAAAGTTTCAGGGGCTGACATGCTGAAGTATGGACAAAATTTCCTTTTGACATGCTGCTTCTTGTGGTGGACACACAACTTACACAACATTTGCTCACACTGATGTCTTACCAATTTGACGACCACTCAGTTTTGACAACAGCAAAGACAAAGTTTCTGATCATGGCCCCTTATCTGCATCCACAGCTGCAGTCTTTGTCATAGGAATGTTCCTATTAACAGCCTAAATCATTGCCTTTGTCTTTTATTGGATTGCTGTGCCCTGATCAAATGACCTCTACCTCAACTCTTTCAGATGACTCCTGCCCCGAACTGGGAAGATACTGTTCCCTGCAATGCCCGATGGGATACCAGAGGGACGATTTTGGCTGTGAGGTGTGTGAGTGCAGCATCCCCATGCCCAAGTGCCGACCCCTGACCTGCACTAAGACCTGCCCTTATGGATATGTGTAAGTACACCCAGTGTAATGCTTAAAGTGTAGCCACACTCATTTGTCATCCATGTTTTCAGCCTGCTTGTAAAGGCATCCGTGGCAGTCTGTGATGTAACGTGCAGATACATGAAGAACCTGTGCACTTTGACCTTACACACTAGTGAGACAGGAAAATGTAAGTGGATAGTAGATCTTCGAAATTCTGTTTTGACAGAGAGAAGTGATGAGTTTTCATTATGATCAAAGTACAATGTTAAGCACGTTTTCACTTTCAATAGCCCGGTATGAAGGGCATTTTCACTCATCAAAGTCTGAGTCAAGGTTCATGTCTTAGTCATATTGTTTCAATCTGTTTAGTGTGGTTTCACACTGTACTTCAGAGAGCAGAAAGAAGTCAGAAAGAAGCAGTCCAAATGTAATTCCTGTTGTCATCACCTACGTGAGATGCCTCAACCTATACTTTACATCGATTGGTTCAAAGATGAGCGTACGTCTGATATTGATGTGTTGTCAATTCAACCATTGACTTTTATGAATAAAGTGCATTTAAAAAAACAAGGGTAATCTTTCCATTTGAATGGAGAGAAAACAATTAACAGGTTAATTTAACAACTTCAGGTGCAGTAGTGAACACTAGTTCAAATGCACCAAGTGAATGGTGTGACAGCACCCTTATATTCCCTAAATTCATTGTCTTCAGGTCACCTCCTGAATCTACATAGCTTTTGTTAATTATAGAAGTACAGTACTTATATTATCAGGTGTTGCTCTGAGGTCAGAGCCTGTTTGGTCACGTTCAGGAGGAAGCACAACAGACTACTGCAACAGTCGTTTGGCATCCAAGATCAAAGGCCCTACCTTGGTGGCCAATCCCAGGTCTTTAAATCTGTGTGTAAGAGAGCGTGCGTGTTTGTGTGCAAATTATTCACTGTGAGGTCCATGCTGGCCTCTTCATCCCCCCTACAATTCCTCTCCCCCTAATCCCATTTAACCCAATCAAACATCTGGAAGTGCTCTCTTCTGGGACATTTGGTCCCGAGGCACCACTCTCATTTCATAAATCATCATCTTGTCTCAAAACAACGATCAAAAACACATCGTGACAAAAGCAGCATTTATGAAACGTATACAGGCGGGATTCTTCTGGTATCTCGGCCGTGCTCGCTGGAGCCGCGATGCAAGATGGGACCGATATGTTGGGCGTGGGGTGCCAGAGGAGAGGAGAGGAGAGGAGAGGAGAGGAGAGGAGAGGAGAGGAGAGGAGAGGAGCAGGAAGTCCCAGCTTTATCCTTCATAAGCAGCTGTTTAAGTCTAGCCTCAGATGTCTAAAATCCTCTGAGAGCTTGCCAGCCCTACAATGCAGATCTGTCTTCTCACACAGGACCCCTGCATGTAGCCACCACAAAGAAACAAAGACACAAAGGATCACTGTTTGCAATGCTTGTATTGATGACATCCTGTGATCACTGTAATGTACATATTCCGAGCTGTGGGCGCCAGATGAATGTAAACCTTGTAAAGATTTTCTTAATGGTCTGTAGGTGAAGGGTAAGCTCAGGGTGGTTCTTACTATCAGGTTTTTTTGTGGGTCACCAGTGGGTTTTCCATCCTTCATAGCTCAAAATCATCACTGTGACCACACGGGTCATGAACGGTATTCCTCTGGCCATCACGGCTGCGATGCACTGGAAATTGTGCCGAGCCAGCAGTCCCAGGGCCCGGGGGCCCCACCGGTGCCTCCCCAAACCCCCTCCATCCCCCTGGAGCCCAAAGCGCTGCTTGGCATTCCACACGCCATCTTTAAACAAAGCACTTGCTCTAAGGTCGCAGTACTCTCTGTCTCTGTATTTGTACAGTGAGGCTCTGGCCAAGCCCTCGCAGTGCTGTTTCAAAAGCTGTTATTGCTGCTTCAGCATAGATAGGCTCCTGTGTTTGCTGAGGCCGACAATGCTTCGTCCCCTTCATGGGACACAGCACCGCTCCTCTTGGGCTCGAGGGCTTCCTTTTAATTATGTCGCTCCAGAGAATGAAGATTAATGGAGTCATTAGTCAGGGGCCAAATGAGGCCACTGCTTCATTAAATAGGTATCATCATTTACCTGGAGGGAGGTAGAAAGAGGTTGAGAGAAGATGAATGAGAAAGGAGGAAACGTAGAGGGAGGGAGGATGAGAAAAATGTGAGATACAGGTCGTTCTTTCATCTGAGGTGAGGACAGTTTATCAACCTGCAGCTCATCCATGTTTTATTAGGCACATAACGGGATCCAACTTTTTCCAGCCTCTGCAGCTTCGTCCTCCTTTTCCCTCTTAATGTGAGGATATCCCCGTGGTCAGCTCGGTACAATATCACTTAACTTTTACAAATCAACTATCAGCTCACATGACTAGGCAAAAGGACCTAGCGCTCTTTCACCCTCTGTTTTTCTGTTTCTCTCTCTACTCCCCCAATCAACATGTTTACACGAGTTCTTATCTGGCCCCTGCTCTCAGTCGCTCTTATGAGTCTGCCAAGGGCTTTTGGAGCAATAAGGATGGCAGCAGGGTGAATTGAAAGCATCTGAATTGGCTTTAGATTGCTGCTTTTGGAGTCTTTTGGGTTGGTATGATGTGCAAACCACAGGGATCTCACATGTTGGCCTTTTATTTGGCCTTCTTCAAAGGCAGCTAATATAGGGAGGGGGAAAACAGGTCCAGATGTTGATTATACCAGACTGGAGCATCTGGATCTCTGTATCTCAAGACCCCATTGATCCATAGGACTCTCGTCTCGGAGATATCCTCGATGTGAAGCAATTTTGAACATGAGCGATGTTTACTTTCTAACATGATCTCCAGATAATTTAATTTAATTTGTGCCTGTGTTTGTTGCTATGCAGGAGGAACAAGCACGGCTGTGAGATGTGCCGCTGCGTCAAGTGTCCCCCCTTCACCTGTGACAAACACTGCAGCGATGGCTATCGACAGAACCGGAAGGGCTGCTCCATCTGCATGTGCAAAGGTAACTAAGCTCTGTTTGGAGTCAGATGCAAAATTGATTCACTTAAATGTAGTGCAGCCACTTCGATGTGTATCATACTTTTAGTTTTTGCATTTCTGACACTTGAGGATGTTAAATTCATGCAATTGGCCAGATTGACATAAAATGTAGAAATAAATGGCCTCTGAAACGGCCTCATGCCCTTTATGAGGACGAAATAATACTTTCCACAGAATTCTCCTCAGACTTTGATGTAAAATTCACGGAACACATTCATGTTACATAGACAGTATAAACCATTTGTATTTTGGACCGTGATTATTATTAAACTCTACGTGTTTACTCGTGGTCCCCAGAGAGCGAGCCCTGCTTATTATTGCAGGCTCCTGACCTTTCATGTATCAGCAGACCGTAACACTCCCTCATAGATTATTGTGACATTTACCAAACATGCTCCCTGAAGGATCAACCTTGTCACAATATACAGTATGTTGGCAGTGTAGAGGGTGGAGGATGGAGGCAGATAGGAGATCTCTGTTCGTAGTTTGAATCCACTGAACTGCAGCTTTAATTTCCTCTGACCTTTCACTGCTCTGACATGGAGACTTTTATGTTCTGCTTGTTTTGGTTCCTGTTGGTGTTTAGCTTCATACAGAGGGACTGTGTGCACAGCTCTAATTAGATTCCCCCAACACTTACATTTAGAGCAAGTATGCAGATGGATTATTTATGCCCCGCCATGTTTTATGTGATGTATTTATTTTGCCAGTTTAGCTGTATTATAAATATGTCAGGCTCAAATATACTCGGTTCAGTACATGTGGTTCCTCATCTCCACAGACGCACACAGAGACCAGTGTTATACTGCAAATAAACCTGTCTACCTGATGTTGAAACTCTTGGATCCGTCTATCTAGGCTGTTTATGGACTCAAAGATAGAACAGTTTTGATGGAGCATGTTAAAATGTGTGTTTTTGAAAGATTAAAATAAAACATAATAGATATCTAAATATGATAGAGCTGTGCAATGTCATACACTGTGTTCTTACAAATTCATAACTGGTTAAGTTTCTTTTTTGAATAGTTTTTTTGAACAGCTACTCCACATTCCCTTGTCCCGCTAACTAATGTCTGCACTTTCAAATTTGTGTCTCTAGAAAGTAGCCACATCCCAAGCACCACTGCCCTGGCCCCGATGCCCAGCTACTGCCTCACCTCCAACGGGCACCGATACGAGGAGGGCGACGGCTGGCACGACGGCTGCCGCGACTGCTACTGCCACTCTGGACGGGAGATGTGCGTGCTCATTTCCTGTACCGTACCAAGCTGTGCTCACCCAGTGGTCAGGCTTGACCAGTGTTGTCCTACGTGTGAGGGTATGTCTCTTTACATATATTCAAACATGAATTTATATTATGAATATATTTCATGACCAACATAAAGGGATATTTCCTGGTTATTACCTTTCTCCATCTGTTAGTAAGATTACGCAAAAAACTAATGAACTGATTTTCTTAATATCTGGTTAAGGGTTTGGGTGGGGGCCAAGAAAGAACACATTAACTTTTGGAGCGGATTCGATGAAGGGGGAAGATCTATCAAAATTTTTAGGAATATTTGGGGAATCTTCATGTGTAAAATCAGGCGTATGTAGAGAGATGATATCTACAAACAGGTGAAATCTTTTCATATCTTTATAGTTTTTCTCATCACTGTAATATTTTACAAGCGACATCACTTAAAGGGATGGAACATAAGACAGAAACGATCAGATTAGTTTTAAACAAACCCTCAGGTTAGTCAAATTCTTTTCAAAGAGTAAATGAAGGAGAATGCCACAATTATTTCTCAAGCTCTCCATTAAAACATCCAATTTACAGACCGACTTTATGGTTCCCCTTCCGACCATATGTCATTGCTGAGAAAACACAGCTTCTTGTGTAATGAGTGATTAAGTCAACGTTAAGGGTGCTCTCACTTCCATGACTTCATGAAAGCAATCCTGCCATGTGCCCACATCTCAGCATGTTAAATCCTGTGAGCGCAGTGTTGTCATAACCGATAAAAATGGTTTCCAGAATCAAGAAAATACTGTTGGACCTCCACCAAGGTCTAACAAACGCAGTCTAACAAACGCAGACAACAAAAATAACCTCCTTTAAAAACTAATTCTGCCATTGGTTAAAGATCTGTTTGAATCATTCACTCTAGGAGCGGGCCTCAGGTCTCACTCAATTACTTCTTCAGAATCAGTCACATTTCGGTCACACATTCACGTGCACACACACATCTGGCACTATGCAGCCCATCGTCCCCTCGCAGCTCATTCAGCCAAGAGCTCCGGATCATTAGTCCATTCTAAGCCTTTGACTTGCCCACCACTTACACTTGCAGACACACAGTCTCTGTCTGTTTCTCTAAAAATGGAAGAGGCCCACTGATCCACACCCATACTTCTTTTTTTTTTTTCATCCACAACCCTCCAACTCATGCGGTGTATTTATGGAGGAGTGACTCAGCTGGCTGTTCAAATATTTAGCAGTGAAAGAATGTCTACAACTTTCAGAAGCTACGCACACTCTGCAGTCGGGGGACAATGGGCTAACTCTTCGCAGATGTCTGCTACTCAGCTGGACAGATAGATGTTTTCAAATAAATGAGTGTCAAAACACAACTTGGACACCGCCCTGCGCTGCTTGGCCTGAGGCTGCTTTCTAACGTACGGCGCTCTCCCATGGATCCTCACATCTAGAAACCCTTGAGAGTCAAGAGAGTCTGTTTACTCTCTCAAGATCATTGTTTCCCTTCTTAATGTAACGCTCATTGTCCAGAGCTAAATGAATGAATGTTTGGCACTGAGAACAACAACAGAAGGTGAATTTGATAGCAACTCACTTTTTTCCCCCTCTTCTTCGTCTTCCTCTGCAGATGAGTCAGGCAGCGGTCAGCCAGAGGGGATGGACATGGTGGTGTGCAGAGCCCCCGGGGGGGAGTTCTATGTGGAGGGGGAGACCTGGAACCTGGACGAGTGCACACGCTGCACCTGTAGGAAGGGACGCGTCCTGTGCGACACAGAAGTGTGTCCCCCAGCTCTGTGCCAGACTCCCACCAGGAACAAGGACACCTGTTGCCACGTTTGCCCAGGTAATGGAATATAAAAAGACAGGAAAGACGGGGTGAAGTTGGAAAAGGGTGTATAAAGCTGAGATGTGCTATCAGCAGGTGGCTTTGAAAGGTCTCGCATGTTGCACTTTGTCGGGACGTTTTATGTCAGGCACACAGGCTCATAAAGAAACCAGCCAGAACCAGTTGGGTTTACACAGCGCTTCTCAGGGGCAGGCAGCAGCAGCACATGTGGACGGCTCTCACCCAGCGGTTCACACTGGAGCTCCGTCTAACGCTCTTACTGCTGGAAAGCAAAGAATGTAACTAATCTTTCCGGATCTGCACCACTCATTCGCATAGGTTATGGGAATACACTCTTGACGCAAATGTCAAGGCAAACACACACACACAAAAAAAACCCCACACGCATATTTTATTTACAACTGCACCCAAACACTCGAGCTTCTTTCTCACACTCTTAAAAAGAACGTATCCCAAGCACTCCCGAGCATGAGGCCCACAAATCAGCGATGCATGACTGCGCCTGAGAGCTGCTGCTCCTTCTGGAGAATGCCGGCCCGCCTTATCACTGCATCTCCACTCACAAAAGCAGATTGTCAGAGCCTGGCCTTTGATATATGTATGGGCCTGGTCACCAGGAATGTGGGAATAAGAGACATCACACTGACAGGCCCTATGATGTATGGTTACAGTAGGGCTGAGATCTCAGGCTCTGTTGAGAGAGATAAGGTCTGAGACTGATTTGACATCTGTCATATGGAGTCACTTATGTTTGTCTTTGACATTCAGTAAAGCATCTTATCTTGAATGCAGCCCTACAGGCCCAACAACCAGTGTGGATTAAGTTGTTATACAGCAGGGCTGAACCGCATGAGTCATGTGGAAGCAGCCGTCTCCATGTGGTTATATTCAACACAGACTACATAATATAAACTTTATTTCTATAGCGCCTTTTAGAACTAAAGTAACTAGAAAAAAAATATATAAGTGCAAAATTTTCAATCATAGAAAAACCAAATCAGATAAAAGAACAGCAATGCAGCAATGACATAAGTCCAGCCAAGACACTGTTTCTACTGAGCTGATGTTGAGGGAGCGTTTGTTCCACAGTACTGGTGCTAAAGAGCTAAAGACCTAAAAGCACAATCCCCTTTAAACCTTTACCGTCCGACTTTTACAGCGTTTGCTCCGAGACCGCTGAGATGAAAGAATCAGACTAAGGGGTTAAAAGTTCTGCAATATGAAGCGGAGCCATACAAAAGAGATCAATACAATCTTAAACTGAGTTCTGAAGTGCAAATGCCAAGTTTCTCGCCGAGCGTCATGTTGGTTGTTCATGGTCCAAGACTAAATGAGTTCTTCCTTCCAAAAGACAAATGATAAGTTAAACTGTAGCTCTAACCTTCCATTCCCGAGCCCTGTTAAGTTCAATGTCTCAACTTTAACACGTATGTACTTTTATGATTGACTCTATTTATACCTGTGTAACCACAGAGGAGACGTTGAGCCCCTTGCTGCCGGTGAACAACAGCCAGCAGGAGTACTGCATAACCAGTGACGGGGACGTGCTGCTGGCTGGAGACTCCTGGAAGGCGAACGCCTGCACCAGCTGCACCTGCAACAACGGCACCATTCAGTGTTTCTCTCAGCGCTGCCCCGCTGCCAACTGCAGGGTGCCCGTCTTACGCAAGGGCCAGTGCTGCCCACACTGTCTCGGTGAGTCCTTTGGTGCCGCCTTGTGCCAAAGTTGCCTTCAGACTTCAGAGTGTTTTTGTTTCACTACAAATAAATGAAAACGTGAGTTTTCTAGTTTAAGATGAGGTTTATGTAATGCTTCCACATGCTGAGAAGAACTGTGAAACTTGTGTAAAACTACCATTATTTATAGAACAAGTGGTGCCACTGGAACAAGGCACAGCCTGTTGTTGGGAAGGTTATAATTCATAATGCTGCACGTCACTGAGAAAACGCCGGTTTCCAGACTGATGTGTGCGTATGTTTGTTCATTAGTCCTCGCCACTCTGGCGCTACACGGGGCAAACACAATCATTCGGAACAAAATTCCATGTGACACACACAGGGTACACTCGGAGCAAAAACATTCCTTGAGCATCCGCACATTCACACGTGTTTCCTGTCCCTGGCTGAAGCGGCCCGCAACGCTCTCGCTCTGTGGCGGCGCAGGAAGTCAAAGCTCCATGTCAGCTTTTCCTATAGAGGAAAACCTCAGCATAGGCTCCATTGTTCACCCTGATATGAAGCCGTTTCACCGGCTCTTTTGTTTTTCTTATTTGCCCAGTGGAAAACAGCTTTTTTTAACCTAACGCCTTACAGAGTGGTGCAGTGGAAGTCAGGACAGTTCCTATAAACACAGCTTGTCAAGCAGACACCAGGGAGTTCACACACTAGCTCACAGTTGGATGTTTACACACCAGTCGTATTGGTAATTGATCTCAATCCTGTCTGCGCAGAAATCACAACATCAGTGCCGGTGGTGGTTTCCACCAGCGTCGGCAAGAAGACGGTCACGACGGTGGAGACCGCGGTGTGGATCACAACTGTCACTGTGCCGTCCATCATCCCCGATACAGGTACCTGCTCATTAAATCACCAGCTCATCAGACAGTTAACGTCTTCATTACTCCCTTCTCAAGTTAACACACTGCGCAGTAGTAACCACATCGTGTTTATTTGACATCATTGCTCTACAGTTCCTGCCAATCCCTGAGAGTGTTTACACCAGTGAAGGGTGTAGTGAAATGTAGACTAGCTAAAACAATTGTGACAAATGAACACTGACCTAATATGATCTCTCGAGACCTCCAGCGTTCATTTTTTAACCATGAGCACAGAGCTGGGATATTTGCCAAATGCCAAAGCAAAGACATAAGCCCTTTTGAATGTAGTAAATGCACATAATACAACAGTGAGTATTTGAAGTGAGACAAGCTCACTGTGCTGGGATGGATATCTAATCAGGGTTGTTCTGCGTCCCACAGATGAACCAGGATTGGGTGAGAACTACCCCAGCCAAACAGAGATGGCCCTCATCTACCAATCAGCTGCCTGGATCCTAGCGGGGCTCCTCCTAGCCATCATCATCTTCCTCATCGTGGCGTTACTGATCAACAAGAAGAAGAAGTGGGTGCAGATGTCCTGCTACAGCGCACCAAAGAAGGTAACACTCGCTGTCTGAACGTCACATAAATCAGGTCTTTCATGTTGAAGCAGTGGATTAAAAAGGTGCTAAATTAAGCAGCTGCCTTCATATAAACAGCAGAGTTGATATGTGGATGGGTCATCGGGAGTGTTAAACCTACCATGACGTCAGGATTAAGGTGGTTTTCCTTTGTCCTGCACTTCCAACTGGAACATGGTCAAAATCTGTAGCTCCACCATGAAATGAGATTGTAGTGTCAGAAGGAATTTGTAAGGGACTGTTTTCAGAAGTCAAAATTTTGAGAATAGTCATAACATTACAAGAAAAAAGTTGATAATCTAAGAGACTAAAGTCGTTATATTACAAGAATGAAGTCATTATATAACAAGTAAAGGTGGAATTTTTGGTTGTATGTAATTTTTTATGGGAATATGAGATAATCGGCCCCTCGTCTGTGTTCAAATGAGGAATGTAAAGCATCTTGTCATTTTATACTTTAGTTTCACAAATAAAAAAATACGTAATCTTTTATCACATCAGCACTACATTATCGTAAGTATCAGCACTTGGAAAAGATTGTGAAAGAGCCCGTCTCTTTCCAAGACACAACCACAGACTGCCTCTTTTGTGGAGGAGGAAATATTTGGTAGTGGTCGACTGCTTTGTTATTATTAGTTACATCTGCTGATAGTCAGAGGGGTCTCATAGTTTCTCAAAAAACAATCAGATTGGATCAAGATTTTGGATCCAGGACTGGAACTTAGACGAACACATGTTCGACTTTTTCTTTATTGCCATAAT